TGATGCACTCTGATTGATGTAAACACTAAAAAATAGCATCTTTCCACCTAAACTACTGTACACACAGTTTTTCATCTCACCTGAGGTTCAAAATATGTTATTGAAATAGAAATATGGACTTGTCCCCATTACAAACTATTGTCAAGTTATAAAAAATGTAATCATTACACTACATTATTATATTTAAGTATAAAAGCTCTGAATTGCAATCTTTGTCATTGAGTGGCATATTTTAAATGAAGAGTAATATCCCAGGTCTCCATAGAAAGCTTAATGCTTAAAAACAATTTTATCTAACGATGAACAATGAGAAAAAAGCATTATAAAATACATTTTGAGTATGCTTCAAAGAATATGAACATAATACAGAATTAAATTTAGAGCAATTAAGAGTAGATTTTGAAGATTTCTCTTAAATGCTTTAAGTGTGCAGTTTTAATGAGAAGAAGCACATGCACTGACTTTTTGATGGGTATTATTCAACACACGTGCATTACCGAGCAGCCTATTTAGTTGCACCAAAGTTGAGGAGCATGTGAAGTACACACAGCTAGTGGCTTTAATGATATTTCTGTGCTGAAATGAACTTTGATGGTGAGTGTTGTAACGTGCTAAATCCTGAGGTTTGAGCACAACAGAAACCATATACTGTATTGAGACATCCCACCTACAGTTTGTGGTTATGCAGTCTGATTAAGAGTGGTTTGAGATACATGAAAGTATTTTGGGCCGATGCCTTCTACATTGAATGTATTCTGTGACCTATTTCACTAAATAAAATACCAATGCGCAGGTATATTTACACAACTAAATTGTGTCTAAAAATTCTATTCGAAGCTATATAGATCTGTATAAAGAAATTCATATAAATTTCTGTGTAAATGTTATATTCTTCTTTATTCACTCCAGAAAAAAAATCACTTTTATTTAGATCATTGTGACTCATGTGAATGAACCAGCATGTTAAAGGCTTTTGAAGTAGTAGTATACAAATGTAGCTGTGTATTCAGACATGAAAACAAATATCAGCCATATTTTGTCAGAAGCACTTTAACAAGACAATCAATAAGCATAAAACAGAAAGTGAGATATTGGTGATTATTACAAAGAAAAATTGTCCGACTTGAAATGGAAATAACCTTGGAGTGGTTATTGATGAGTCAGCGCAGGCTGTTGACTGTTCAGATGCTATGGTTTTCAAAAGATCCCCGGCTCAACATTATCTATCAACAGCAGTAACAGCTTCAAGATCCCTCAAGTAGCCGACTCTTCAAGCCACCAAGACAGATTGATTTTCGTAGTTCTCCGTTTTCTGTAAGTCAACTAAGAAAGGGAAGGGAGATATGATTTATTGGGCATCCACTTTAAATTAAGCCTTAGGCTTGATAAGGTCCATACATTATTTTATACAGCCCTTTGGGCAACATTAAGAACAGAAATTAGGTTCATTTTACAGATGAAAACTTAAACTGAGAGGCAAAGTGAATTTCCCAGGACTAGCCCTTGTGATGGACAGTGGTTAAGCAGTCAGCAACTAACCAAAAGATTGTTGGTTCAAACCCACCAGGCACACCAGGGGAGAGTAATGTGGCCAATCCGATTCCCTACAGACTATCTATAGCCTTAGAACTTCCTAGGAGGCAGTTCCAATCTGTCCTGTAGGAACTGATAAGTCGGAGTAAACTTGAAGGTAAAGGGTTTATTTTTTCAGTTTCGTCAACAACAGATTCAGTACCCCACTCAAAGGGCCTCTGAATCCAAATCCCTTGTTATGAATTCTCTACCGGGCTGCGTTCAATACCAATTAATTATAAAACAATGTAATTATTGTTAAGTAGATTACACAGTTACAGCTTTCTAAACTGTATGCAGCACTCAAATAGGTCATGAGGAAACGATACTGTATTCTATAAAACATATAGCAACTTTAGGGGAGCTCTGCTGGTGTCGTGGTTACAAGTTAGGCTGCAATCTGCATGGTTAGCAGTTCGAAACCACCAGCAGATAGCTGTTCAGGAGAAAGACCGGGCTTTCTACTCCCGTAGACAATTACATTCTCGGGAACCCACAGGGAGGGTTTGCAAGTCAGCAGTGACTCGATGGCACTTTTGTTTTGTTTTGTTTTGCTTTGTTTTTATAGCAACTTTATAGTTCTAAAATTTTAACTTATTACTTTTCTCTTATTCATTTTTTATCCCATTTCAAACCTTAATTGTGTGCCCTTTCTGGGTCTCCTAGTTCAGGCAGCGGGCAAAATGAAATGCAGCAGTAAGCAAAACAAAATCACACGTGCCCTGATGGAGCATGCCAGGTAGCGGGCGAGGCATACATTAAGCAAATACTCACAAAAATATACAATTATAATATCTGGAAAAGTCTATTAAGTAAGGTGACCAGACATCCCGCTTTTGGCAGGACAGTCCTGATTTTTAACAATTTTTCCCACGCCCCACTTGGTGTTTTAAAAAAATTCCCGATTTTTGGAAAGAATGCAGGACAAGCTAGGGTATAGGGTTTTCGGCTGCCATGTGGCTATTTTGCCAGGATATGAGTTTTATCAATGGTGTCCCGCTTTACCAATGTTAAAATCTGGTCACCTTACTATTAAGGGAAAGAAACGGGTGAGAGGTAAAACTAATTAGGAAAAGTAAAGCGGAATGAATAGGTTGGGCGGCTGGGCTTTCCATCTGAAAGGAGTGAACACTGACTGAAATGCCCCAGTTTGAAGCCTGAGCATATGAAAAGATGGGGACCCCGTGGGGGAGCGTAGAGCAGGGATCAAAGTGGTGTGTTTGGAGCTCGATTCCCAGGACACTTAGAAAGACTTAAAACGCGAGGAAATCCACTGGGTGTTCAAGAAAAGATAAGGAGTGGGAATCTAGACTTCAGCGTTACATGCAGAGAGGTGGCATGTAAGACGGGAGCTGGCCTCTGAAAGATGAGTTAGACTTGAAGGCAACTAAAGAAAAAATTCAGAATACTCCCTATTTAAAATATTAAGTTAGTCAGCAAATTGGGTCCCACAAATGACAACATACTTAGGAAGAACACTCGCGTTTACAAAAGGTAATAAACAAACATCCTGCTGGCAGGTGAAAGTTTAAAACAGCAGTTCTCAACCTGTGGGTTGCGACCCCTTTGGGGGTCAAACGACCCTTTCACAGTGGTCGCCCGATTCACAACAGTAGCAAAATTACAGTTATGAAGTAGCAACAAAAATAATTTTATGGTTGGGGATCACCACAACATGAGGAACTGTGTTAAAGGGTCCTGGCATGAGGAAGGTTGAGAACCACTGGTTTAAAAAGTTTCTGAATTTTCCATATGTTAATGTTTCTCATTTCACAAATGCATTGGGCCACATTGCACTTTCATTCTGCAGAGTGTTTCCTAGGAGTGGGAGTCCACAGGAAACCCATGGGAAACACTGGATTGTCACTGGCAGATTTTTTGTTTTTTTTAAACATTTTATTAGGGGCTCATACAACTCTTATCACAATCCATACATACATCAATTGTGTAAAGCGCATTTGTACTTCATTCTCAAAACATTTTCTCTCCACTTAAACCCCCGGCATTAGGTCCTCATTTTTCCCCTCCCTCCCCACTCCCCCCTCCCTCATGAGCCCTTGATAGTTTATAAATTGTTATTTTGTCATATCTTGCCCTGTCCGACGTCTCCCTTCACCCACTTTTCGGTTGTCCGTCCCCCAGGGAGGAGGTCACATATAATTCCTTGTAATCGGTTCCCTCCTTCCTACCCACTCTCCCACCACCCTCCCTGTTTCGCCACTCACACCACTGGTCCTGTAGGACTCATCCGCCCTGGATTCCCTGGATTTTCAGTTCCTATCTGTACCAGTATACCTCCTCTGGTCTAGCCGTCACTGGCAGGTTTTAAGGAAGGATGTCGGTGAAGTGTTTCTTTGCCTTTCTTTTTTTTTTTTATTGTGCGCACACTGGAGTGTCAAGCTAGAATTTAACCAAGAAATGTCTAAACGAGGAATAGTGAAATAGATATTTGCATCAGTAGGACTGGGAGGTAGGAAGTGTTCAAAGCTGGCGAGAGGAAGCCATTGTAGACTGTTCCCTAGGAGAACGGCAGTAGACAGCACGAAGCTTTGAAGATTGGGATGAGTTGAGGAGGGAGTAATTCCAGACGGGGGATCAGCTGGGCCAGGAAGCTGCTAGGCTGTCCAAGAAGGAAGTGATAAAACAGGACTGATAGAGCTGACAGGGAAATGTAAGGGAAGTGTAAACCCGAGAAGCGTTTAGAGAGAAGGACTTCTGGGCCTTGGTAGGAGATTGGATTAAAAGAAGAAAAGGTCAACGTGGACAATACATTTTTAGGCCTGGGAGAACACAAGAGATACATGGAAGAATGAAGCCAAAACCTTAATCGTATTATGGCTAAAGCACTTCCCAACGCCCTGCTGGATTGCTAGAAAACAGAACACAACATTGTCTGAGCGCATAGTCATATCCCTTCAAATGTTTTCAATTAAATGGCATGAGACTAAACAATTCTAAGATTCCTTTTGAACATGAACCTGAAATGCTCAGTTCATAATGCAACACTCCAGTTGCCAATTGGCCCCCATCCCCAATTGAAAAAGGAACAAACTCCAAATTCATAATTGAGAAAGGTGTTAACCATGCTCAAGTTCCATTATATATATATTTTTTTTTCTTCTTTTTTTCTTCTTCTCAAATGGCTGAAGGAAACACGAACAGTTGCCTGGGGATCTTCATTAAAATGCCCCACGTTAAACTGCGCTTTCGCATTCAGCAACTAGCTAGAAATCACACATTTTCTAATTCTAAGGAGAAAGTCGTTTTAGATTTACTTGCTTTCCTTGGAAATGTGTTAGTGCCCCCACGGCTCTGACAACTACAAGTCATTGTTTTACAGAAGGAAAAAAAAGTCCTGTAGAAAAAAATGGCATGCATCCATTTCTTCTTCAAACCAAACCGACCCCCGCCTGCTTGCTTCTTTCCAGGTGACATTCACGAAGAGGAAATTTGGGCTGATGAAGAAGGCGTACGAGCTGAGCGTGCTGTGTGACTGCGAGATCGCCCTGATCATCTTTAACAGCACCAACAAGCTGTTCCAGTACGCCAGCACCGACATGGACAAGGTGCTGCTCAAGTACACGGAGTACAACGAGCCGCACGAGAGCCGCACCAACTCCGACATCGTGGAGGTGAGCCCCCGACAGCCCCCTGGCGTTTGGCCCTCCCCCTACTCTCTTCAAGCACGCATGCACACATGTAGCTTTCCGTCGGATGTTCCTATTTCCTCTGGTGTATTAGGGCCCCTGCTGCTCTTCCACCTGTACACCATGCCTCTCGCTCCCTCTCAAGATGCAAATTGAAGTGATATTTTAATAGGGAGATCATAGAAGCTGGTCTGTGATGGAAACCAAGTACCAGTGTCAGGTCATTTGATCTTGAGTGAGCATTGCTTATAGTGTGACAACATGGTTGGGAGCTGCGGTTAGGGACAGTTTACTACATTTTAGGTCGCCTGTGATGATTTTTGAAGTTTAAATAATAATTTCCCTATATAGTTTAAGGGAAAAATCTTTAAATATAAGCTCACCCAAACTTTACAAACCTTTAACTTTTCATCTCGTCTCTCTTTTTTTTTCTAATGCACTCCTCTGAGTGCAAGGAGCCCTGGTGGTGTAGTGGATTCTGTGTTGGGCTGCTAACCACAAGGTCAGCAGTTTGAAACCAGCAGCAGCTCTGCAGCAGCACGATGAGGCTTCCTACCCCCATAACGAGTTACAGTCTGGGAAACTCCCGGGGCCAGTTTTATCCTGTCCTATTGGGTCACTGAGTTGGAATCAACTCGATGGCAGGGAGGATTTTGTTTTGGTTTTTGGTTTTTAGTGCATTACTGCTGGGAAGGTGAAGACCGTTCTAGAAATGTGTTCCCCCAAATTATATAACGGTGAAGCTGTTCATATACATGGATTGAGAAACAAAATGAATATGAATTTTTCATTATTTGTTCAAGTATTTTCCTAATGTGAGATTTAGAACATCATTTTAATGATACTAAAAATACACAAAATCCATGTTAAAATTATTTTTTTGAGATTTGTTAGCGTAAGTGATAACACCATGCAGTTGTGGCTGACGCTTTCTAAACCTTACCAACATGTGTCTGATTTGCATGCTGCTGTCCTGCAGTCCCCTTTGTACGCAGTGACGACTAAGTTAGGGAAAGAGTATCATGAGAGTGGTTCCCGTCAGCTGACTGTCATCACGTACCTCTCTCCTTCAGCTTTCCCAGAGCAGCGGTCATTCCAGGACCAAAAGAAAATTAAGAAATGTTTGAAAAATGTGTGTCCGGGCTCACTTCTCCCCAGACTAGAAGTAGTTCTTGCTACTCTTTAGACCGGTTCCAGACTATGAAAAACAAACCAACCCCCCAAAATCCTAGATCAAATTATTCTGCCTACCACATCCATCATCCTTTTCACGGTCTGTCTAAAACTAGTTCTCATTTTTGGGTATTTCAAAAGTGTAGAGCTGGCCGGTTTATTTTTGCCTGACAAGGCCAGCATGATCATTTCAGAGAAACAAGAATGATCATTGATAGATGTGGTATACATATGCTTAAAATACTTTCAGACTCCCTTTACCGTGTGTCATTTTGGTGAACTCTTCTTTGAATTGTGTGCTTGCCTTGTTTGTTAAATTCAAAGTCATTTAGAAAACTTATCCTGCTATGTATTTCATGTGGCATTTAATCCACCTATGCCTGGAGACATACAAATGCACAAACATGAATACGAACATAGTCCGTTGGTACGTGTGTGTGTGCACATAGCATAAATCCTAGAAACAAAACATCTCTATCTTCAAAACTCCATGTCATTAGGGAAACCATTACAACAAAAGTTTTGGGGTGAAAAAAGAATTTTAATTAGAATTTGTTGTTAGACTTGAACTGCTCCAGCCCTTATATATGGGGGGGAAAAATCTTTCTTACAGGAAAGAGCTGAAACTCTAGAAAATGCCCCTTCTGAGGCATGTGTGCGTATGTGTATACTACACACATATATCTGAGTCTAAAGCCTGATTTAGAACTTCATGTGTTGTAGGGGAGTTTCATTTTCTTAGACAGATGGGTATCTAAGAACCATCACAAGAGCCAGAGGTCTCGGCTCTGAATCCTTGCTTTGCATGACATGCCCACGTGGCAAGTTAGCTAACTCTTAGCTAAAACGCTCCAGACTCCACTTTTCCCATCTCAAAAATAAAGAAGTTTAACCTGAAAGCCCTTCCCAACATAATTCTCTAAAAAGCAAAACTTTTAAAAGGGAACAAAACAGTACGTCTGAGACGTGTGTTGGCACCATTCAGCTACCTGAATCACACTTTCCCCACGTATTTGACTTTTCCACATCTTATAAGCAACAGAGGTGACAGCGAAAGAAGTGAACTTGATAAAATTTTCATCACTCACACATGGAGCATTCTTCCAAGTGCGAATCGTCTGAATCAGGATTTTTGGATACTTGTTGGAAGAGAGAGGACCTGGGTGGGAAACTGCATTTAAAGCAGGTTTACCCAGGAAGTTAGTAAGACTGTATAGCTCCAGGAGAGAAAATGTGTTGGAGGCTTAAGAACCTGTGAGACATCAGGGACTGGGAGAATCCACTCTAGGATGGATCTAACATGAAGCTGAGACTTTATGGTAGTTTACTACTCCTGGGTAAAATTTTAAATCCTATTTATTTTAATTTAATGGAATGCATTTAACTGAGTATGTTTAATGAGGAGCATAATATGTTTCATGAAGGGTCATTAGTTTTATATTCCCCATTTGGACCATTACCCCTCTCCCTTAACCCTCTAAAAACAGTTTACACATAAGGAAGGAGGGGGGGGGAAGGAAATGGGGAGAGAAAGTGAGAAATAATAAGATTCCCAACATTTAGACTGAAATACAAATTTCTGGGCCATACCGGAGTAATGTTACAGGGTCATAAGAAATTGTGCAGGCGCGTGGGTGTTGAAAAAGATTCCTTCTTTTAGCAAAAAAAGCTCTGCGTAATTATCCTGTCTTTGCTTGATAATTAGCACTACTGTTACAATGGCACAAAGACTCACAATGGCTTAACAGACAGAGAAAGATTTTTTTTATTACATTATAATGCAGCATGAATATCTGTTTAGATACAATATATAAATATGCCAGATTTAGTAAATGTGTTACATTTTTAATCCATTGGTTAAAAAAACAGTCATTGTATTAAAAGCACTTCCTTGGAAGGGAAGTCCATTTCATTTAACTCTGTGACATGTATACTAGATTTTTCTTCCACATGCTGGCTTATGACGCTGTTCAAACTCAGGAGGTTTTCTGGTGGCATTAATAAATGGCCGCCCCCATGATTTGCAACTCTCTAGTTCCACACCTCACCTTCTGAGCTGCCTTCAACCCTAACAGTTTCTATCGGGGGCTGTTCTGGGAAGAAGGAAGGGTTCATAGCTGTTACAGTCAGGATGACCTGGTGAATGTGGTTCTGAAAAAGAAGTCAAGCATTCGTATTGAGGCGGTAAAACGTATATACAAACATCAACCAGAAACAAGCAAGGGCAAAGGACCAGGCTGCCTCATTAATACAATAGAGCTACCTAAGTGAGGAAGGTCATAGGCCAAATATTCATTCGAGCAGGTCATGCCTTCTAAAGACCATTCCGGGTAACCTCTGGCGTTGCAGAATTCCCAGACAGATGACCACCATGTGCAGCACAGGGGCTTTAGCCGAAAAACCCATCAGGGCATGTCCTTCAGCACCCAGCCAGGAAGAGCGCTCTCATCCTCTGGACTCCCAGGTTCAGCCAAAGTGGAGTGACTAAGCACAGCCACTCAGGACATTCAAACGGGACTTACAACTCTTGGGAAGAACTCTTAGATTCAGTAAAGAATTGTCCGCCTTTTACTTAACTCTCTTATGACGATGCTAGAATGGGTAAGAATTGCATGTACTTGTTTTTGAGAGATAATCTTTACACGAATGATTGGGCTCTGTCACCTGAATCCTGTTTGGCTTTCGACCCATCCAAGAACTGTTCTCCCAACAGAGTGTTTCTTTGCATCTTAATCGAGGCTGGAAGTAGGACTAGAAAGGCCGTAAAATAACATAGAACCTTTATTGATTCATAGGATCCTACAGCTAACAGCAAATTAACTGCTCTTTTGCCAAAGGGCTTCAAAAAGTGTGTGAGAAAATTCCTTTATCTTTCCATTATAGTTTTCTATACGTTTTCTATACACGTTATATTTTTCTATACACATTTCTATACACGTTTTGTACTTATCTAAACATACAGATTTGCAATATTTGTTTTACGAGTGCAGTATAGAAATATAGGAGTTCTGGTGGCACGGAGGGTGATGTGTTGGGCGGCTAACCTCAAGACGAGCATTTTGAAACCACCAGCCCTGGGCAGAGGAAAGATGAGGCTTTCTACTCTCGTGAAGAGTTCTCGTCTCAGAAACCCACAGGGGTAGTTCTCTCCTGTCCTCTGTGGTCACCAAGAGTTAGAATCGACCGGATGGCAGTGAAATTGGAAATCTTTTTGAGGAGAGCCCTTGTAGTCCAGTAGTGAAGCACTCAATTCCCAATGGGAAGAGAGGGATTTAAATTCACTGTGTTCGTATATTAGCACCAAAATTACCTTTGTCACTTCTGTAATGTAAAATTTAAGAAGTACATGACAGGAGAGAAGAACTGGGTGAGCCCCTGAGTTTTAGAATTCAGATCATAATCTGAGAGACACACATTTCGAGCAAAGCCCTCACTAAACTAAGCATGTTTTACCCAACCCTCTGACTACACCAAACCCACTGCCTTCAAAATGAGCCTCACCCTTTCGATGCTGACTCGCGGCGACTGACTGTGCACAGGGCTTCTACACGGGAGCGACAGCCTCATCTCTCTCCCTAGGAATGCTTGGTGGATTAAGACTGGGAAACTTGCTATTTGATGTTTACTTGATGCAACATGGGGCCACTACTTAGCTTTATAATTAATTATACATTTTTTTTCAGACAAGCAGGACTATTCTCAGAGAAATAAAAATCCCTTATTAAAAATCATTGTAAAATAGAATTGGAACCGTTTTTATTGAAATTTCCTTATTAAACCCGCCTTGCCCTCCATTAGGCCAACATGTCATT